AAGCTCGTGGGCTCGGAGGAGCTGTATCCTACACTGGCTGAGAACAGGATTTGCGCTACTGTTACATATGGCATACCATAAAACTGCAGATGCTGCTGTGGGAATTAAAAACTACCCCCCGACCCAACTGACTGCCTCTGGCTCGGAGTTGGACACATTGCCACCACCCGGCCAGGCTCTTTGTTTTGCTTGGAGAGTCAGACAAGGTTTTGGAACGCAAAACTCAACAAATCATCTGTTCAGATTTAAACAAGCAATACTGGTAAAAAAGAGAAACTTCAAGAGTAGTTTGTCTCAAAAGATTTCTGATTCCTAGTTGGTACATGAGTACTAAACTGAAACCTTTCATAACGCTTCAGGAAAAGCATCTAAAATGTAGACACTGACACCATAGATTTGCTCTAGAAGCATTTTAATTTACAAACAGCAATTCCCATTGACTTTATACCATAAAAAAAGCAATTTACAAGCAAGAAACAAATTCATCAGAACAAAATAAAGCAGCACTGAAATATTCATGTCACAAATCTAAAATCAAAGTGAATACAAGAGTAAAATATCATTTGAATAAATATTTTAAAATTCATGCTATAAAATAAACCTTAATGGCAAGTTATTAATTGTTACAGCATCAGCTTAGCTAGCTTCATTTACTTCATATGGTGATGAAGTGTGGAGTTGTGAGGTTACCGGTTTATATTGCAAGATAATGACACCAAGTCAAGTCATTCAAACTGTTCAATTATTTATCATGAACAACAACCATACAAATAAAAGTTATCTAAAAATACATTTCTTCAGTCAGAAACAAACACTGTTAAAATCGTGCAAGAGCTCTACCTCTAATCAGATACACAACCAGAGGCTTGCAGTCCAAGCCCAAAGGCTGAATTCGTAGCACGTGTAAGTGGGAGACAGCAGTTTCTTGTATCTGCCACAGCAGGAGTCACTCACTCAAACTGGAAGCAAACCTGCTCAGTTACTGACACTTTGCTTCACATCCCCTGAAAAAATACAGGAACACATGTCCCAGGCTTACTTGTTTGTTTAGCTTTTTTTTTTTTTTTAAATGTAAACTTGTGTAACTTAAGTTAATGCTGTCACGGGGATGTGCGAGTAGTATTAAATCTACAATATTAAATACAACTATTCTGGCACTTGTTAAAACATATGTAAAATGCACACAGATTATAAACTTTGAACATTTTGAATGACTTTACTAAGCTTCCAATTCAATCACTGAGTATTATGAAATTTACAATTAATGAAATAAACAGATTCATATAAAGAATTTACATAATTCCCCAAATACTTTCAAATATAAAATTTAATAAATAACCCTGACCAGTCAAAAAGCACCATTCAAGGGTAAAATTCCCTTGGAAAATAGATTAGGTGTTGCATATTTGAGTCCCTTTCAATGGTTTCCAGTGAAACCTGTTTAGAAAAATGACAATAAAAGAATCACAGTAAACTAATACAAAAATTCAAATTTTATATATATATATTTTTTTTTAAAGGTAAAG